CGAGGCAGGACTTGGGGCTTGCCCCTCCCAGCACGCCTGGTGCCAGTCCCAGAAGGGCCCAGGCGGCGGTGCTGGGCGCCAGGGGTTATCCCAGGAGCAAGGGGGATATTGGGGGCACCTCTTGGGGGAGCCTGCGCCCTTCCCTGCGCTGGGTGCAGAGTCCCCTCCACAACACACACGCTGCTGGGCTGCATCTTGGCTCCATTTTGCATGGAGATTCCAGGCTTGTTCGAACTCCGAGTACAACCCCCGAGGTCCAGGCAGCACTAACCCCGCGAGCCAGGAGCAACCCCCCAGGCCAGGCCATGCCTCGCCACGTTCGCCAGAGGCGGGAATCGCACCGAGGGGCAGGGAACAAACCAAACCGGCCCCAGACAGAGAAGGGGCAGGGGAGGCCGACCTGGACCTCAGCACAAGGTTCTGTGAGAAGGTTGCACCACCTGCCCCATCCATACACTGGATGCTGTCCGAACTAGCTGGCCCTGTCCAAGCCCTGGGGAGTTTAACTGCACCCCCGTCTCTGCTTAAGCTGGAAACGCTGGGACGCTCCGGAGAGGATTGTGGGGTCCCGTGCTACCTGGCTCATGGTGTCTCCTTGGTAGAGGTGGCCGTGCCTGTGCAGATAGGCCCCAGGGCCTCTGAGAGGAGTGGGTCAGACTGAAGGGGCAGCGGACTGGCCAGGGAGACAGTTGGCTCTGTAGGATGAACAGGCGTCGTGTTCGGGCCGCCTCCAGCCTGTTTCCAACTGGCCAGGTTTGCATCTGGAGTCCCTGTGAAGCACCTGCGTGATGCCCCCTTTGCTAGCTCTCCTGTGTGCAGAGGAATGCCACAGTGATGGCTCATAGGGGCCCAGCAGGGAACTTGAGTGGGGAGAGCAGCTGGCTGGCTCCTCTGGCACAGCCATCCCCGCCAGCCCACCTCTGTGCTGCAGGAGGAGCCCGAGTGTTTCCAGAGCAGTTTGGGCAGGTGGGCTGCACACGGAGCGAGTTCTGGAGGAGACTTTTGGCACCCGGACACCTGGGTTCAAGTCTTAATAAGGTCGAGGGGGAGGGGGAGGGGGGCTGGTCTTGGCAAGTCCCTATCCATGCACCTTGCAGAGCTCCCCCAAAACGGGAGTGCTCGCTGCCTGCCTGGACAGCCCTGGGAGTGAGATGGGCCGGAGCACTGCACGTCCTGCCACATGGGCCGGAAGGAGCGGGGGCAGACGCGGGAGACTGGGCCAGGGTTAAGAAGCATTACTAGAAGGCTGTGTCTAGACTGGCATGACTTTCCGCAAATGCTTTTAACAGAAAAGTGTCCATGCCAATCTAGACGCGGTTTTGCACAAGAAAGCCCCGATCGGTTCTCAGCTGTCTACACTGGCCCTCTTGCGCAAAAGCATTCATGCAAGAGGGCTTTTCCCGAATGGGACAGTCATTGTATTTGCGGAAGAACACTGACAACCTTACATTAGATCATCAGTGTTCTTATGCAAATTCAAAGCGGCCAGTGTAGACAGCTGGCAAGTTTTTCCGCAAAAGCGGCCACTTTTATGGAAAAACTTGCCAGTCTAGACGCAGCCGAAGTGTAGAGGGAACCCAAGATTAAAGCAGAGGGGCTGTGGGTCAGACTGGCTTAGCTGTAGTGGGCAGCTCAGGACTGCACCCGCCAGAGTTCTGTGGGTCAGGACTGGGGACATGGCAGAGTTAGGGGGAGGGTGGGGAAAATGAATGAGAGAAACCATCCAGCCTGGAGTAAGTGCTCTAGGCAGGGATGGCAGGGTTTCAAGAGTCTGGTGGGAGGCTCGCTGTGGGGTGCGCAGCTGCTCGATCCGGAGGGTGACTCAGGAGCAGCATCTGAACTCAGCAGAAATGCAGCATTGGAGGGTCTGCAGGCTGTGTGTGTCTGTCCTGGGACTGCCGCTGTCGCTCCCCTGCAGCCTGAGCTGAGGAGCTGGTGACCTTCACCCAGCCCTCTAAAGAGGATGTTCCTTGGGCTCTGAGGAAGAGCAGAGACTGGGGGTTGGCAGCTGCAAGGGAAGAAAACAGGGTGGCTCCAAGTCTGAAAAGGAGCCAGGTAGAGACCTGTGCAACCCACAGCCAGCTCCTCTCTGGGGAGACAGGCAGGCTCCAATGAGGCAAAGCAAGGGCAGGGGGCTTGACTTGATGGCTACAACACGTTGGCCTCTAAGACACAGACACCTAAAGTTAGGCTCCTAAATCCAAGTTTAGGTGCCAAATTTAATGGCTTGATTGCTCGAGGGAATCCCAGGACCACTTCCAGCAGCTCCCCTGCATAGCGGAGGGGCAGAGGAATTGCTACGTGCCTCAGGCCAGGGTCCAGCTGCTCTAATGTTGGGTCCCAGCACCAGCTGCTCCAGAGGTTGCAATAAACCCCCCAGGAGGGCAGGTTAGAGAAGAAACTTCCTGTTAGGTTATGCCTGAGGGGGAGGCTACCCCAGTGGGGGACTATTGACAGCAGCACATGGGTTTGGGACAGGACCTCCTGGACTTGGGCTCTTTGTGGCTGAGGATGGAGAGCAGGGTGCAGTCCATGGGAAGTGGGTGCCCTGCTGTTTCCCAAATCACTAGGACAAGTGGCAAGTTGGGGCCTGGATCGTCGCTCCTTTACTGGAAGAGAGGGGGAGGAGCGGGAGTGGTTCAGTGGGGTGGCGCCCGCTGGGGCCTGAGCCAGCCCCGCTACAGGGGTGTCTGACTCGCGTGGAGCGGCTGGGTGCAGCCTGGCCACTTGCTCCTTTCTAACGTGGCCAGTTCCCTTTAATCACGACAGGTCAAAACGCAGCTGCAAGCCCAGACAGTGGCAGCCGTGGCTGTGGGGCATCAGCACAACCACCAGGTGAGCAGGGGGCTCTGGGATCTGCCAGCGTCTTCCCGGTGGTGCCTGTGTGCTAGCGCCGGGGCTGGGAGGGTGCAGGCTGTGCTGTGCACATGTCGGGGTTGGGTACCCAGGGGAGCTGCAGCTGCCTCTCTGCAGGCCTCTGGGTGTCAAATTCGCCCTGGGACCTTGCAACAAGTGTCAACGTGTCGTGCTCCAGAGGGGCTTGCTTGAAGCCAAGTTTGATTTACTGGTTCACAGGCAGAGAGAAACGGGGTTAAAACAATAGAAGCCAAAACACCTTCTGTCTCCCCTCCCCTGAGCCTCTGCTTGCCAGCAGGCGCGCACGACCCAGGCAGCCTGTCCCCCCAGCAGGGTCTGCCCGCTGCCCTTTTAGCCCTGCCACGCCCCAGGAAAGCAGGATAAGGGACCTCAGGAGGGAGGGTGGTGGGGTGGATTCTGGAGTGGACGTGGGGATAAGGCATTCGCCCGGGGGGCAGGCTCAAGCCCCGCCCACCCTGGGGGCAGCAGGACAGCCGACACTGGCTGGCCCAGGGATCAAGCTGGCTCCCCTACCCAGAAAGCAGGAGTGAGCTGACCCCCTGTGGCTTTGTGCTGGGCAACTGAACCTGGCCAGGCTAGTTTCTACATTTCTGCCCTGGCTTCGTGGTGGTGTCCCACTGAGTACAAGGGGGTTGATGATTCTGTCATCAGCCCTTCTCCATGGGCTCTGCAGGAGTTAACCCTTAGCTGCCTTTTGGCCAGCGATGCCTCAGCGTTCACACCCATCGAGATTCGGTCCACTCCGAACTCTCACGGGGCAGAATTCCTGTTCTCCGCAGTAGGGCCATGTGCACAGCGCTATGGGGACTGATGCGAGTGTGTGTCTGTGGGTTTTGTGTAGTAGTTCCATGTGTGCCTGCATGGATGTGGAAGTGCATGCGGGGTCTATGTGTGCAAAGAAATGCCTGGGTGCGTAGGGGCAGCAGATGTGTATGCCTGCATGCCAAGGAGTGGGTCGAGGAGCTCCAGGTGAGCGGTGCGGGGGGGCCATGGGGCCTGACACGAGCGTCTCGCTGGGCAGGGATCCAGGGGTAGGGTTGGCCTATCCCCTTCCAGTGGGCCAGTCTCCTGCCCCAGCCTTCTCACATGTGTGTGCAGTGGATGTGATCTGCGTGGCAGAGGCGTGTGCTCATGATGCATGTGTGACATGCAGCAGCACATGCCAGATCTGTGTGCTGGACATTCTGTTTGGCCTGCGGAGTGAGGCCTCCTGGCACCCGAGGAGCGGGGAGCCGCTGGGTCTTTGTGCGTGTTCCCCTGGGACTCACTTGTCCTGTTTCCTGGGCACCCCTGGCTGAGGCTCCTGCTGCGGGCTTGCTCTGTACAGAGCCACTCCCAGCAGTGCGCCTGTAGCTGCCCACACCGAGTGTTTTGCTACAAGAAAGTTGCTGAATTGGAGGAATGGGCCTGGCGGGGGGGTTGTCACCGGCCATTTGTTGCTGGCGCTTCTGGTGACGTTGGCTGCACCGGGCTGTTTGCCTTTCTCGGCACGGCAGCCCCCACTTGGATTGGCTCCACTCCTGGGGGCGGGGGAGGCCAAGGCCCAGGCTGGCCGGGACTGTGTGTGTCTGTCCCAGGCTGTCACCTGGGAGGGGATTGTGGGAGTGGAACCCTGCCAACCCGCTCACAGACACCAGCTGGCAGGCAGCCTCTCTGCCAGGCTGTGTCCTTGGCACCAGGCGGCCTGGGCTACATCGGAGCCCCAGGCCCTGCCCCCGGGTACTGGATCAACCAGAGATCCCTAAACCCTCCTGTTTCCTGCCACCTCAGTGTCCCATCATCTGTCTGACTCTCTGCCCAGGGTGTCTCCAGTGCCTTTGAGACCATCTACCGGACGCAGGGGCTTGTGGGCCTGTGGCGAGGGGTGAGCGGTGCCGTACCCCGCGTCATGGTGGGCTCTGCGGCGCAGTTGGCCACCTTCGCATCAGCCAAGGAGTGGGTCGAGGAGCTCCAGGTGAGCGGTGGGGGGCGGGGGGCCTTGCGCGTGGAGAGCTGGGCAGGGATCCAGGGGTAGGGTTGGCCTATCCCCTTCCAGTGGGCCAGTCTCCTGCCCCAGCCTTCTCACATGTGTGTGCAGTGGATGTGATCTGCGTGGCAGAGGCGTGTGCTCATGATGCATGTGTGACATGCAGCAGCACATGCCAGATCTGTGTGCTGGACATCCCACGCAGGGCTCCTGGCCCTGGTGTGCCCCAGGCAGGAATCCCAGCCGGCCCTGTGGAGTGACCCGCTGCCGGGGGGCCGTGCAGAGCCCCAGCCCGCTCTGCCGTCGGGCGGCCGCGTTGTCTTCCTCGCACCAGATTCATTCACGGGGTTGCAGAAATAGGCCGGGAAGGGGCGGGACCAGGACACTTCTGTGCCCCCCCACAGACCCTGCCTGGCCAGCTGGCGGGGGAGTGCCTGGAGTCTGCCCCTGCCCCTCCCCCTTGGCGCCTAGCGAAAGCCGCCAGGTGTCCTGCCAGGGGCGCATGGTGCCCGGAGGGGAGGAGACTTTGCGCCTCCCCAGGGCCTGATTGGCCATAGGGCAGGGGAGCGGCAGGGTGTCCGTGGGCCGGATCCGGCCCCAGAGCCTCTTGCCCGCCCAGCCTTGGCGACAGTGGCACATCCCCCATGTCGGGTCAGACTCAGCCCTGCTGGGCTGCCGGGTTAACTCACAGCCCCGCCCCCTGAGAGGGGCAGCGGCTGCGTCTGGGTCTCAGGGCCTGCCCTGCCCTCGCTGGCCTGATTGACAGGCAGCTTTGCTCCGAATATAACGCCGGCTGGTGTCCTCCCCTCGACCCCTCGGCCCTGGCGCTGACTCGGCGCTTTCCCGCCATGAGATCAGCAGGGCTCTGGGCCGTGCTGCTCGGGGTGGGGAGCTACGGGAGCACCCTACCGCTCCCAGCCCGCAGAAGAACCACCAGCTGCCTCCTCTCCTGCTAGTTGTGCCACTTGCTGCTTTGACAGGCCCAGCTGCTGCCCCCAAGGCCAGGAACTAATTGCATCTGTCTCTAGGGCAGCGGTTCCCAAACTTCGGCATCACGCCCCCTTTTGAGAAACCTTCACGCTCCCCTCCCCAAAAAATAGCAGCAAAAGTTGGGGTGGGATTGACTGGGGCGTGTGGCTGGGGCGCCCCCCGCGCCCCCCCCCACTTGCTGCTTTGACAGGCCCAGCTGCTGCCCCCAAGGCCAGGAACTAATTGCATCTGTCTCTAGGGCAGCGGTTCCCAAACTTCGGCATCACGCCCCCTTTTGAGAAACCTTCACGCTCCCCTCCCCAAAAAATAGCAGCAAAAGTTGGGGTGGGATTGACTGGGGCGTGTGGCTGGGGCGCCCCCCGCGCCCCCCCCCTTGGGAAC